ATCCCGAGCCCGCGGGGAGTACCACATCCCGAGCCCGGGAGATCACCCCATCCCCACCCCGCGGCGAGTACCACATCCCGGTACCCCGGGAGATCACCCCATCCCGAGCCCGGGAGATCACCGCATCCCGACCCCGCGGGGAGTACCACATCCCAGTCCCCCGGGAGATCACCGCATCCCGACCCTGCGGGGAGTACCACATCCCAGTCCCCCGGGAGATCACCGCATCCCGACCCCGGGCAGAGCACTTCATCCCAGTCCCCCGGGAGATCACCCCATCCCGGCCCGGGCGATGGACGCAGAAGCCGATGCTGCCGGGACCAGGCAGGAGGAGCCACAGAGGGAGGCAGAGGTCACCCCCCAAACCCTGCGACATCTCCAGGAGGAGCTGCAGAAAGCCAAGGACGACCACAACATGGCTCGTGGTACCCACTCTGCATCTCCTCAGAGCAGTGCCCGCCTCACACAGAGTTTCACATAGAATCCCAGAATGGTTTGGGTTGGAAGGATCTTAATGCTCATCTCATCCCACACCCTGCCATGCGCAGAGACACCTTCCACCAGCCCAGGTTGCTCCAAGCCCCATCCAACCTGGCCTGGATCACTCCCAGGGATGGAGCAGCCCCAGCTGCTCTGGGCAACCTGTGCCAGTGCCTCAGCACCTCACAGGGAGGAATTCCTTCCTAATATCCAATCTAACCCTACTCTCTGTATCTTCCCCTTAGGCTCTTTCAGGTACTGGAAAGCTGGAGTTAGGTCACCCCAAAGCCTTCACTTCTCTAGGCTGAACAATCTCACATCCCATCAAAGCACCACAAACCACCAGTGTCACTGTGGCTGCAGCATGAACATCACCCACAGTCTGTACCCAGACTCACCTGAGAAGAAGAGGCACAGAGCTTTCTGCAGGGATTCAGTTTGCCTAACAGCAGCACTTCCACTTTCAGGTGCCATCTCTTCCCTGCAGAGAGAGCTGGAGCGCCAGGAGTGCCACCTGCGGAGGACCAGGTCTGAAAAAGCTGAGCTCCAGAAGAAGCTCACAGTGCAACAAGAGCAGCTGCAAGCCATGACTGACAAGGTATGGCCCAAGAGAGCTGCGGCCAGGAATTCGGGATTCACACAGCAGTTCCCTCTCTCCTGGGCAGGAGAGGCACAACTCCAAAACTGAAATGTAAAACAATCTCCCTTCAGTTTCACAGCCTGAGAGAAGAGCACAAACACGAAGAAGTGCTGGCGATGATGGAGGAGGAGAACCGCAGCCTCCGACAGGTGAACTCGGTGCAAAGCTGCTATAGAAAATTCTGGGATGTGCTGCTTCTCCAGGCTGGTTTTAGGCCTGGGGAGTCTGGCATATAACATCCCTACTCAATCCAGTAGTTTTAGAGAAAACCACAAGTATTAACAGTTACAGTACTGGTGAGGTTGTTGGTCCACAGGCTCTGCCCAGGAAACACAAACCATTTGTACCAAACACTGGGAAGATGAGGCCAAACCTGCTCACTTCCTTCCCTACAGCAACAGCGGGATGTCTGCATCTTCTCAGGTCGTTGGGGAGCCACAGCAACAGCTGGATTTCTGCATCTTCTCAGGTCGTTGGGGAGCAGGAATCCAAGCTGGCTGAGCAGAACAAGCTGATCAGTGAGTTAGAGGAGACAGTCACCCAGCTACGGGCCGAGGGTCTGAGCAGCTGCTGCCAGGTCCAGGAGCTGAAACGGGCGCAGAAGGAGATCCAGAGCCAGGCTGAGGCACTGCAGCACTCAGAGCTGCAAGCCAGAGTGGCACTGGAATCCACCAGCAGCAAGGTAAGCCTGGTCCCCTTCACCTCAGAGCCCTGCTCCCTCCTGGGACACGCCTGGGACCTGAGTCCACGTGCTGCCCAGCTGATAGCACAACTCTTGTGCCACTGAAAGCAAACATGCCTCAAATACCACAACCCCTTGAGAAACTCAAGTTCAGAACAGTTACATCACCAGATTTCTACACCCTTCCAGACTCGAGGCAGCAGGTATCACCTCAAAGCCATTTCACTTGCAGTGAAGCCCAAACCACCTGTAATTCCACATAAACACTTCCCATCTCATCACCCACCAGTACCTTGCCCAAGCCTGACAATGCAGCCTCTGTAAATCCCTGCAAAGGCCAAGGAGTTGGTCTATAAGGACTAAATACAGCTACTTTCCTTTTTTACCCAAGTTTGAAAGGTTTAGAAGCAAGATACTCCAGGCTGTGTTCAGCATCGAGGGCAGCCAGGCCCCGTCAGCTGAGCTCACGGACGAGGAGTTGTTGGATGCAATGCAGGTATGTGGCTCTTCCAAACTCAGCTGCCAGCACTGAGGTAAGAGAACACTTGGCAGTGCTGCTCTTCACCTAGTGCCTTCCCAGCTCTCACGTGCCCCTGACTTTCAGAAAATCATTAAAGAACGGATGGAGTTCCACCGTGTGCTGAAGCAGAAAGGTATCAAGGTGCCATCGCTCCCCAGCAGCACCACCACTGCATCCTCTGCTAAGGAAAGGAGAAAGAGCTCTATCAAGTAACACAGAAAAGCCAAGCCAGAACCTGCCACTGACTGCAGGTTCTGAGCTGGTGACTCACAGCGAATTAAACTCCTTTCACTGAGACCAAGTTCTGCAGGAGTATCTGACTGTGTCAGCCAACTCAGGGCACCTGTAAGCCCTTGGACTGCAGGAACACTTGACTTCCCAGGGAGCCTGAAGCACAAGGATTGCTTGGCTACTTGGGAAGTTTCTAAGTGACACAACTGAACATTCACCAACACCAGAGTGAGTGACAGTGCCAGGACTGCAAGAACTGTTTTATTTTTCCATTCCTTACACAAGTCCCAACACAGAGATGTATTTGACATGGGATCAGGTCAGTTGGAGCTCTGGGAGTGCCATTTTTAACAGAGCAGAGTCAGCCTGGAGGTCACCTTGGTTTAAGGACAGGTGTGAGCTCAAACTGCCTGTTTTGGAAGGTGTCCCCAACACCTTGACATGGGGTGTGGCAGAGCCCCAGGAGGGCAGGAGTGTGTTCTGGGGCACAGGGTGAGGCAGCATGAGCCCTCTGAAGGGACACAACCTCACCAGCAGAGCAGAGCCAGTGCCCAGTCACAGCAATTCACCAGGCACACACAAGGACACAAGAGGCATTCCCACAGGGATGGAGGGTGGCTCTGGAATGCACTGGGACACACAAACCTTGCAGTCAATTAAACCGACTTCACTTAAAAATGGAATCTGTGGTCACACCTGACCACAGAAACCATCCCCCACAAACTCATCCCTCAAGTTCTGACAGCAGGTCATGTCTCTGACAGCAGCTAAATGTTCACAATTACTCCAGACAGCAATAAAATGATGCAGAACGAGATGTCAGCAGTGGTTCAGCACTCAGGTTCAGGACTCTACTCAGCATGGGCCCTCAGTTCCACCTCCTGCTGCCCAACAAGGACCCAGCTGAAACACACCAGGAAGAAATAGTGATCTGGCAGGGAAGTGTGACTACACTTGTTTTAAACATCGTGAGTTTATCTACCAGTCACTGTGTTCTGGTGTCCAACACCTTCTCTGCCCTAAGGCCACGTTTGGAGACACTGTTCCCTCTGCCTGCCCCAACACCAATGACTCCGTTAAGGCTGAAGGATTTCAGTTCTTGCTGTAGCTCATCAAGCTGTGAAGCTGTTGCCTCCCAGGCAGGACACTCTGCATCTTTTCTTCAAAAACTCAAACCCTCTCACTGTGCACAAGTTGTGTTATTGAACATGGGGAGAACAAAAGAAGGTGGAATCCTCCCCTCAGTGCAGACAGTGCTAGCGGATCACAGTCAGCAGAGAGGACACTGTGCCCAGGTCAGTCTTGGAAGGATAAAGTACTTTCAGGTTTCCATCCAGGTCCACCACTCGCACCTGCTCCACCACCAAGGGCAGGTTCCTGGGCTGTGTGTGCTCGCTGGGCTCCAGACTCCCTGGTCCACAGAGAGCATCTGGCTCTGCATCCGAGCCTGAGCCTTCCTTGTTCTCCAAGGTAAACCTGTTCAGCTCTGCAATTTTCTGTGAAAAGCAAAATGCAGAGAACAAGATCAGTTCTGTGCAGACAATCAGTGAGAGGCAATGACACTACTAAAGTACCAGCCAACTTCTGCTGACGTGCTGGGTAGGAGCCCACCAAGACCAGAGAGGGTATTTTCCTGAACTCCCTACCAGGATAAGTGTGTCCATGACATCTTTGCAGATCTGTAAGCTGGTGTCACTCGTCACCTCCAGAAACAGGTCACAGGTGTCTTTTCGAATCTGTAAGAGTTTTGCAGGTGAAGCAAGTCAGGAGCCAGAGCACCTCCCTCACAGCACAAGTTCCACGAACTTTGTGTGTCTTTGAATCTGAGCTAACTCTGAGCAGAAGGAAACACTCAAATTGACTAACGGATTCCCATGAACAGGGAGTACCTTTGTTTTCTCACTGTTGGTTATTGGTGGGAAGGAAATCACTGAGCCTTCAGCATCCACCAGGCATGGGTAGTTGTCTTTTCCATCCAGCAACTGCAGGTACCTGCCAGGAGAGACAGAGCAGCAAAGGGAGTGACTGAGAGAGCAGCTGGACACAATGGCAAAAAGAGTGAGAAAAAGGAGTTAGTGTGTGATCCTGATGCAGCCAGAGACAACAAAAGGCACTGTCAGCCTCACTTCGCTCCCAGTGACTCCCACAACAGTCACCTAAGTTCAGGTGAAAAAACCCACAGAAGATGAGGGTACTGACTTGTGCAGCCCAGAGACATTCTGACGCTTCTTCTGCTTCCTCTGCTCCTCAGCTTCCGACTGCAGCTGGCGGAGAAGGTCCTTTGCCTTGATCTCCTTCCGACCCAGAGGCATTATCTGCACCACACAACAAAATGTTTGACTCAAACACTGAGGTTATTAATACTTCTGTAAGCAAGTCAGTACTTCAAACATACTCCTGTGTGCTGTCACTCCCAATGCCTTTTTCAGCATGGAAATACTTTCCATTTCACAAGGACTGCTGCAATCACAGAGCTTAAACCTCTGTGTGAGCCACAACACCCACCAGAAAAACAGGCTCAGTCACCAGTACTAAGCCAGGCACCTGGGACAGCAAGGAAATCAGCACAGCTTCCACAGTAAAGTTCCTGGAACCTGTTTTTTACATTCTAAGGGCAAGAAACTGCCCTTCAGCCCCACCTTCAGCTCCTCGGGAGGCTGAACATCGTAAGTCAGAGGAGCTTTGACCAGCTGCAAGTCGTGGGTGGCGATGGTGGCTGCTGTGCGCCGCTCACAGATGTCCTCATGCAGCTTAGTCTGAAACACAATGGATGACATCGACACAGATCAAATGGTCCATGTGATTTATCCCTCACAAGGTGCAGATTCCTCTGTATTCAACGTCTGCAGCACTACCAGCCAGGTGGGCATGGAAAGGAGCCCTTGCCCTCACCTGTGTCTGCACCACGGCCCAAATGCAAAGGCAGCAAAGCTAAACAACATACAACACGTTTCTCAACTGGGAAATTGAGTTTTAAATCAGGTAACAATCACAAATGCTCGAGTCTGGTGCCCTGAGAGCAGCTCCCACCTGCCACCTAAGGGCCAGGGGAGGCTGTGGGCAGGATCCCTCAGTGGAAGGTTGGGTTTCAGCACAGATCAGGGAACCTGAAGCCAATCCAGGGGACACCTAACGTGGACATGGGGTTTTTTAGCTCTCAACAGGTTCCACAGCACTGAGTTCTGCTGTTACAGACACAGCACATCCACCATCCTCACGGCAATGCCTGAGCCCCAAACACAGCCCTTTCTTCCCAAACACAGTTCTGCTGATTTGTGCACATGCTGCTGGCAGAGACCACTCTGCACAGTCTCCCCCTGTACCCTCACACCTGCTAGGTGAGGAGCTCACAAACTCATCTGCTGGAAGGAGCCTAGAACAGTCCGTTTCCAACTCTGCCAGCAACATTCCCACTGCAAACAAGTACCACGAGGTCGCAGCAGTTACCTGTGCAGACAAGAACCTCTTGAGAGCATTTCCTGGCTTCAAGTTCACTCCCTTCAGCACACAGCACACGATGAAGGGTCGAACATCTTTTACTCCTGGGCTTACTTTGACCACCAAAGGCACTGGGTTCTCGGAGACATGCAGAACCTTCACCAGCAGCTTGCTTGCCTCTTCTACCTCATCCTGCTCCCCGTCACCACTGGTCTTCTTCTGCTGCTTCTCCCTCTTCTTCTTCCTGGCCTCCTCCCTGGCACTCTCAGCCTTCCCCTTCCCGCGGCCCCCAGCGCGCAGGTACTCCAGGATGGCCTTGGTCTGGCACCCGTTGACCATCTTCTCCAGCCGCTTGTCCTTCAGCTGGTTGCCCCTGAAGTTGGCCTCCTTCAGCCGGGGGCAGTCGGCCAGCGCGGCAGGCAGCTCCTGCAGCTGGTTGTTGGCCACATCCAGAGTCTGGAGGAGACAGAGATGGGGCGGTCAGCGGGGGACAGAGGGGACCCATGGGGGCAGGGGAGACATGGCAGGGTGATGAGGATGCAGGAAGGCAAAGGGACAGTGGGGATGTGGGAGAAGGATGGAGAAGTGAGAGGGTGATGGGGACCGGGGGTGAAAGACAAAGGGACCCAGGGGGAGGACAGAGGGGACCCAAGGGAGCAAGGGGGACATGGGGGGGTGATGATGATGCAGGAGGCTGATGAGGATGCAGGAGGGTGATGTGATCGGGAAGGCAAAGATGTGGTGGGGATGCGAGAGCACGACAGGGGTGCTGGAGGGTGATGAGGATGCAGGAGTGCAATGGGGGCACAGAGGGTGATGAGGATGCAGGAGGGTGATGGAGGGGTGGGAGGGTGATGAGGATGCAGGAGGGTGATGAGGATGCAGGAGTGCAATGGGGGCACAGAGGGTGATGAGGATGCAGGAGGGCGATGGGGGCACGGAGGATGATGAGGATGCAGGAGGGTGATGATGCAGGAGTGCGATGGGGGCGCAGAGGGTGACGAGGATGCAGGAGGTTGATGAGGATGCAGAGGGTGATGAGGATGCAGGAGGGT